TATTGCAGTCTACTTGGTAACACAAAAAAGTAAATCATCACTGCTCACTAGGAAGCAGGGCAATAAAGTTACAAATATCTTATTACAGCTTGATAGTAAATTTGTATGTTAAAATCTACTCCACATAGTACTATATTCTTTTTGACCAATCTTCATATAGGTTTTTTTCAGGAACATAACTAATTGTAAATATAGCTCAGTATCAAGCAGAGGCAGAAATCAATAGCCAATCAGACAGGTGCAGAGAACAAAATGCCAACATGGTTTACAACAAACCAGTTATATAAAAATTCCACAATTAATCTTCTCATAAATATGGAATAAGTATAACCAAACAAGTATGAAATTTAAAATTTTGTTATGAGTGGATAGCTAAAAAAAAATAAAAATCTTAATGTATGCAGCTTTAAATCACTGTATTCATTTTTAAATTCTTCCTGGTGCAACACATCAAAGTAATTTAAAAAAACAAAATAAAGTTTGTTGAGTAAGAATAGACTTGCAGCATAATTTGAGGCTCAAGCACAGGCCCTGATGAACAGCTGTGGGGAAAAATATGTTCTCAAAGCAATGACCACCATATATGTTTTTCACCACTGTAACACATCATAGGAAAAGCAGCAGCCTTTTAAATAATTGGATTCTACATTATAAATAATTAAAATACCCTGCACACAGGAAAATGTCTTCTATTTCTAAATCTACCTAATAATCACTTTTCCCTATTCAACATCTTACCCGTGATTATATGTATAAATACTAAGAAAAATGCCTTAGCCACAGTTCAGTTAGTTATGAGTAGATTTTAATATCTAATTAAGATGGGCCATTATTTCAAAGAGACACCACTGAAGATTAACTGAATGATACAATATATGGCATTGACTCAATTGGCAGCGGTTATTTTCTTTGGGTCTAGAACAAGGTAATATCCTATGCAAGAGTTAAAATGCTTTGATCCACTCTGTCATCTCGAAGAATGTCTTTTATTAATGCAACAGAGATGCCTGCCAGGGTTTTCTTATCACCAGAATCAATGTTGCTAAAGGTGCTATATTTCAGATGTGACCTAACATTCAGGTTCTATTTTTGTTCACTGTGGAGCCTTTTTTACAAGAAAGAAGGTAACAGCTCTGCAGACTTGGCCACCTAACTTTTTATTACTATTTCTACCGAAGTTTCCTTCTTTCCTGTCATGCCATATTGCTGAGCTCAGTTTGGGGGTACTCACATTTCTTTACTCACTCAGCATCAGCAGTGGCCATACAATTCCTATAAATAGGACTTGATCCTGAAGATCCTACTCACAGATGTAAATGTGTCTGATGAGACTGGTACTGTCTAATAAGTTTGTAAAACACAGACATGAAACTGTAACATATTATTATAAAACATTTACATACTCAAAGACTGCAAAACAATAGGATTTCCTTAGTATGACTTACTTCCCTCCCACACTTAAAGCAAAGCAAATTAACATATCTCCGTACTTCATCCTTTTAATCTAACATCACCTCTTTAATATAGTTTATAAAACACAACAAAACTAAGTCCTTAGCAGTAAGTTAGAATAAGTGCAAAATCAGTTCCTTACTAAAACCATTTGACATATGGATTGACTTTTCAAATAATTAAAGGCTTAATATGTTTGCCATTTACAAATCAAAATCAAGTGACATGATAGGCTGGATAAACCTGGAACATGATCTTGCACTGGTGAAATAAAAGGGAAATTCCTTCCACTTTTGAATTGAGAATGTCAAAACCAAGGCTCTGAATGGGCAAGGCTTGGAGATATTACTGTATTCCGTATGTTTCCATTATTCCCTGTTAACCACAGCTCCATTTTCTAAAACCTAAGAAATAAGAATGGATGGATCTTCAGTTTGTAGACTTTGTTTCATCATATGTTGTAAAGCACTGGTTCGTCATAAAGTGGTATAACTACAGTAACTCCTAATTTTCTATCAGAGTTAACAAGTGTGGTACATGACGGCACAGCAGCCATGCAGCTCCACCCCTTGACCCAGAAGCCTCCAGATGGTTCTGTTTTTTAAAAGTTAATAGCTATTGAGATGATTACCTTAATCATTTTAACATCTTAAAGGTTATAGTAAAATTGTATTTATATATAACACACCAGTTAAAGCACAAAATATTCGCACATTCTGTAAGAAATTCAAACTATGGAAGAGATGTGCTTAGAGCCTCTTCCGTGTGTCAGTAAACATACAATCACTATGCAAAAGCAAAGTTTCTGAACTGATAGTACTTCAGTGGTCATAGTCATTTTGAGATCAAGAACTGCTTTTTATTTAACTTCAAACATTTAATCTAGTATCTCTTCCTCAGCTTCCTGTTCTACTTTTTAAGTTTAAAGCCTGATTCAGCCCCACTGAAACTGAAGGGAACTTTGCAGTTAATGTCCTAAACCTCATCTCCATTTCTCTGACAACTGTTCTCCTCATCTTGTTCCTGTTTATATCCAACCTTTATGTCCTTATACTTCCGTTTCTTCGTGCAGATATCACCTATATTTGCCTCTGCCTGCTATCTCCTGTGTATTGTCATTTCACTCTTCAAAAAAGTGTAATGAAAGTGAAAGTATACAGGGGTTTGAATAATCTTGTGATGTGAACATAGGGGAGCAGAATAGACCAATGGTTTTCAATCCTTTTTTGGACTCTCAGAGCCCTATAAAGTTTTCATTTAGAGTCAGTATTCAGAAACGAAATCTACTGACAATACAGTGGTTTGGGGATCTTTTTATTAATCAACTGACATGGGCCTCTCAAAAACAGTCTGTGGAGTCCCAAAGGCTCCTACATCAAAGGTTAAAGACCGCTGAACTAGATCTTTAGTTATAGAAGGGACTTCTCTATAATTCTGAGAGGCATCCATCTTATGTTAAGTAATTTTACACTGTTAACTCATTCAGTGACATCATGAAGCCCTAAAAATCTCAAGGAACATCGTATTTCCATACTGATGAGTAAGTTCAAAATTTTCCCTTATAAATAAGCTAACGATTTATTTATGACAAACAACAAAAATCTCTCCTAAAAACCCACATACATGAAATTTACATTTCAATTAAATTGCTAGCAATTGAGAATAAAACCTGTTTAGAAAAATGTGTTTAAAAAACTCACTGGTACCAAAAAACCTATCTTAAAAAATAATTCTCAAGTAAATGTAGAATCTTGATTATCCTAACTCCAGCTCCTAATAACCTCAAGCCATAAAAAAGCCTCAGCATAAAGAATGAGGTTCATTTCTATGTTCCAAAACAAGGAAAAAAAAATATATTGCTGGCATTTGCATATAGCTGAGCTTATGCCTTTAAATGTGGGACCACCTCTGTCCGGTGCTCTACTTGTAGACTCCATGTTCAACACAGTTACTATATGATTTGAATCCCTGGGTTTGGGTGACAGGCACGGGTTTTAGTTCTTTAAAGAATAAACTCTTCAGATTTTTCACAGTAAATTCAAGATCACTGGCTGAAAACTTTAGACAATTAACTAAAAATACCTCTGAAAACAGTCAGGTAAAAAAAGCCACTTTATATTATTTTAATTATTTTAAACGCAAACAGTGTAAACATTCAGTGGGCAGAGAGCAAAACCCTTACCTATCTCCTGACAAGCTGATACCTTCATCACCAGACTACAGATATGTTTTCTCTCTACCCTTTTTTGTATTCCCTTCTCTCAGATTCAACAGGTGAAATGTAAGATAGCTCACATTTCAGCCTTCCTAGAAGGCTAGTTAAAGAAAAAGCAAGGTCTAGCATGAAATGACAGCAGCAGATGCATAACTGCTCAGCCTGTCTTGCATAATTTGCAAGACTAAATGCCAAGCCAGACAACACTAATAACAAAGCTATATAGCTTCTTAGACCTCCAAGTAAATCTGTACTCTGTCATGGCATAGGGAATGGTTCCTTTTAAACTAACCCTAGAATTCACACTTCCTTATTGAAAAGGCATCATAAGCACCAGAAAAGTACTTCTCAAACTCTCCATGAAACCATAATGAAGCAGCCTACAGAAGCATGTTAAAGTTTTCAGTAGAACTAAATTTTAAACAGCAGCAATTTGTGGTAGTTCTCAAGATCTGTTGGGTTATGCGACCATTCAAAGCAATACACAAAGCAGTAGTTTGTACAAAAGCAGTGATTTTAGACACCTTAAGCTAAAGTAATTTCAGACTCTGAACTCCAGTATCAAATAAATAACTGAATTCGGGATGCTGTTATGCACTGTTGATGCCCAACTCTGTTTCATCTTAAGTATTCTTTTATCAGCCATCCTAGGAGTCTTCCCTCTCTGTACAATGCCTAAAGTAGAGTCTACTTTAAGCATTTCACTTCCTCCATGTATTATGCACAGATGTTACACACCAAAGCCCCGTTATACATGTGGGTCCCAAACTTTATTACTATCTGAAAACCATCATGAACCCTGTAATTTATTTATTTATTTTTACTTTACTACTATCTAAAACATATAATGAACTTCCGTAATTAAAAATGAAAGGAGTAGCTTGGCCTATTTCAAACACTTGGCCCTATAGCCACTTTATGTACCGATCTTGAGGGAGGTCAGATAAAGGAAAACTTAAATCTTTTTCTTATTTAGCATATTTAGGTAGTCACGCAAATTTATTGTCAAGTTTTTAATTTACAGAAAAGTTCAAGTAATCAAATTATAAACAACAGGAAAAAGTCTTCATGACATCTCACTGCTGAAAACGAGCACTATCAAGTGGCAGCAATGAAAGTGTTTTAACAAGGTTATTATTGCCAACAATATGACAAATTAAGTCCCCCAAACTATAAAAGAGTAGTAAAGGCAAAAAATAACATAGCTAGTATGTCAGCTCCAGATATATTGGAAATGCTTAAATACGAATGAACGTACTGAAATTCAGTCTGGAAAAGACATCTTAACTGTGAAGGGCTGGGTATTCTTTTTTTGCATGAGGAACACACTTACCCGGATTTCAAGTCTGTAATCCGTAAACAGTTAGTAGCATCCAGTCCTACTTTTCCATTTCTGACCACGCTGGAAATGAAGGGCGAGAGTGCTGGAGAAATTCTGTTCAAGGCAACTTCAGGTGACATTTTAGTATGTTCCTCTTTCCTTTAGTCTTGAGCTGTACAGGGATGGTAAGGGGGGAGTTAAAATCAAAAACCATCCTCCTTATTTGATGTAACATTCACATGCACTCTGCAAACACCACAAGAAAAAAGTATGCAAAGGATTGGGAATATAGAGTAACTGAAGTGTGCACAGTTTATAAAGAAAAAATAAAGCCCATTTATTCAATGTCAGCGTAAAACCAGACTTACATCCTAGGTTCTTTTAATTAAGATCCTACCCCTATGAGAAAGAAATAAAATTGAGGGCCATTCTGACACTTCACAGCCTAGCCCTTCTTGTATTTCCATTAGGAGTCTATAATTGACAAGCCAAATTTGTTCTGCTTCCACTGAAATCAATGGGACTTGTATTACTGATTGCAATGGGACCAGGGGTTTGATTATGTCTCTGTATTCTCATTTGTAATTTCTAATACCACTAGTATAACCATAATCACTATTACTTTTACATTACTTCATTAGGTAGCTGTTTACAGCATTTCATGATGCCTTTTAAGGGCTAACACTGCTTTTCTTTCAGCGGTATCCCCATACCCTTTGAAAGGCATCTTCATTCACAAAACACATCAGGAAGCTGATGTACACACATATTAAGAACAGCTTTTTCAGAAGTGCTTGTAATTGTGTAACCTTATGCTAAATACCAGTTAGGCCCTTAAGTCAGCACACTTTAAGAACATGCTGCTTTTTAGCTGAAACACGGAAACAGAGCATGCACATATTTTAACACATTGCTCCACAAAAAGGCTAGAGTATGTGGACAGATTGTGGTAGGAGAAATGGGAGAAAAGAAGGGTAAGTAGTCTTTTGAAATGCTAACATACTCGATTGTATTCTTAAGCACTGAGTTTCATCTGAAAATTAACTGAATTTGACGGTTTTAGAAAACAAAGCTGGAAATGACTCAAGGTAACATAAACAAGCTACTGACAAGTGGGGCAGAACTCATACTTAAAACTCTGACCACGAGAATATATTTTTAAAAACACCCATTTAATTGATGTACAATACATACTGTATTTACTGCCTTACAAGATGCTGCATATGGACTGCTGTATTAATAACTGTTCTATAAAGAGAGCGCAAACAACTCATGACAATAGTTGCAATTTTCTGTTGTTTCTAATACTCAGTTTACAAGCATTAGTTGGTAACTAATGGCTATTCTACAAACTAGGTAATCCCTACCAGTTGGTAACTGGCAACAACATTGAAGTTGCATATTTCGTTCTCCCCAAAATCATTCACACTAAAGTAGCATGAAGCAATGTTCAAGGAAGAGTATTTATCCTAGCTATTTGGAACGTATCTGAATAAAGCCAAGGCCAGGCACTTTAAGGCAAACAAGGACTCATAAAGACTTCCTAAAAATAGTAATTATCTTCAATACACTGGTTCTTGTATTTTATGGCAGTAAAAAAGCTGAAAACCATGTCCTAACATATGTGTTCTCTTCACACATATGACTGGTTGTAATTGACAAAGGGCAACAACTTAAGTTTGCTTAGCAAACACCTAGAGCAATTGAAGATGCCATCTCCTGTTTGTTACTTTTCCACCAAAAATTACTGCCTACTCACCTTTATTCTTCCCCAGAGGAACTGGGAGGACACAAGTCTATACTTGACCTATTTCAACTCAAAATCCAATGGCTTGGATTGGACCAATAAAAATGAGTGTAAAACCAAAATGATACTCCACATGAGAGCAGCTAAAACAAGGCACACGTCAGTCTGCCAGCTCCACTGTAGGGAAGAGTAATTTCAAGTAGAGGGGCAGCTGGACCAATGAAGGCAAGAACTTCTTAAGCCATGAAACACATTCTGAAAAACAAGCTATCCTTCTAGCAGTCTTAAAGGCATACACAAAGATCTCAGAATTGGTTCTGATGATGACACATTCTAAGGGGACTAAGTGTTTTGAGGGTAGAAGTGTGAGATGTAAGTAGGTGGGGTTATCAGAGCTGAATAGATGCACCTTCCAAAATGAACTGCAGGATGAGATTCCTTATGTTTTCGTTAATAAAATACATAGATATGGTCAAAACAAGATGTAAATTACTTGCTAGGCATTTTTCCTGGTTTTATTGCATCATTTCTTTTAAGATCCACAATACCTTCTACATTACAAGCCAGATAAACAATACTTAAAAGGTCACTATCAATTAAACTCAGAGATTTATTTTGTAAACAAAGGTCTTTACAAACACAATTAGTACCCCTTTTAGTAAGTTTCAGTTGTGATATACATATTTCCCCCCCCCCCTTAGTTTTCCCACAGTTGGGAAACACAACACAAACTCACGGGAATTAATAGAAACAAAATTCACTAGACCGTTTCCCTCCCAAAACAAAACACTTGAAAGAAGTAAACAGACTAATAGCTGAATCCGTTTAGGTCCAGCAGTCTGTCATTACGACTTCAGGCAAAGGTAACATATTCAAAGTAACCATAAAACCCCAGGCTCTGCTTCGGGCACCAGAGCCTGTCTAGAGGCCAGATACTCTGCTCCTCCACCACCGGTAATAACGTTACGGGGGTTAAGTGAAGCTGTAAGAAGGCAAAGGCAAATATTGCGATGGAGGCCCTGAAGTGCGAAGCAACCTTCCCCGTCCAAACCTCGCGGCTTGGCCGTCCGCAACCCCGGCTTCGTGGTTTTCACTTTGAGGGTGTCAGCCCCAGCTGCCGGGGTGTGGGGCAAAGCGGGGACCCACGACCACCACCACCTCCTGCCGCCGTGCCCGGACACATCCCCGCCCGCCCGGGACGCGCTCGGCGGCCAGGATCTGCGGAGCCCCGGGCAAACCCCCGGCTCCCGCAGCCCTGGCACGGGAGGCCGGACGCGGGCTGACCTCCACCGAGCGCCGAGCCCCGCTCCCTCCCCAGCCGGGC